GGGTCTCCTGGGGCACATCATGGCCGTCAAGGAAGAAAGTGACGTCACGGAGGCTTGGTTGGTAAATGAACCCAAGGCGCTCGGCATCATCGCACAAGGCGTTGAGATCCAGCACCAGACCAACATTTGGTCGTTACGCGCGCCATGGAAGCATGGGGAACCCTTCGCGATTTCTCAAATCGCTCGACTCTTCACAACCGTGTGGTGATGACTCGTCGACTGCATGAGTTCAAGGTGGAATCTGGGACAAGCATGGCAGAGCATCTGGACTCTTGATGAGCTGTAAGTGGGACTCCAGACTACGGGAGAGCCATTCGATGAGTCACGTCAACTGGTGGTTCTTCTCAGCAGTCTGCCGTCAGAGTATGACTTCATTTCGTCGATTGTGGAGAATGCGAAGGACATCACGTTGATTGAAGTCGAGGAGAAGCTGCTCAAGGAATCGGAGAAGCTGCAAAGGTAGGAAGCTACGGAGAAAGCGTTTCGCGTAAATGGAAACACTAGAAGATTCAAAGGTGGACGGGACAATAGACGAAAGGGTGGTCTTCACGCAATAACGGCGGATTCAAGGGCAAGTGCTACAACTGTGACCAGTTTGGGCACAGGTAGCGGAGCTGCCCGGCCAGTAAGAGATCCGACAGCGACGACACGGTGTTTGCTGTTGGTGAAGGAAAGTCATCAGGATGGCTGATTGACAGTGGGGCAACTTCCAACATGACCCCACACAGGAAGGACTTGTTTGATTACAAGAGCCTTAAAGCTAGCATTGAAGTTACGATTGCAGATGGGAAGAAGTTGCTCATTAAAGGAGCTGGCACGGTGAACTGACTGGATTGGACGAAAAGGGCATTCGTATAGTGGAAGTTCTGCACATTCCCGAACTCGACAGAAGATTACTATCCGTTGGTATGTTTGCAGAGCGTGATTTGGGTGTGGAGTTCTCGCAATCGTCTTGCGTCGTCTGGAACAGGAAGCAAGCGATTGCGTCAGGAATAAGAGTCGGGGAGTCGTATTTGCTTGACTGTGAGCAAGAGGAGGCATGTCTCGTTAAATATTACGAGGCTGACAATCAGTAGGAGCTTTGGCATGCTCCCCATGGGACACCCCAGCAAGGACGACCTGGTCAAGACACAACGCTCAACAAAAGAAATTTACTTATCAAGCAAAATGAGGAAACATTGTTAGCTGGGTGTTTAAAGGGCAAGCAAACAATCATGGCATTTCCATCTCGCTCGATGACAAAAACGACATGTGTGCTGGAACGCGTACAAGCAGATGTCATGGGGCCTATGAGGACTTCCTCGAAGGGTGATGCTAAATACAATTTTACGTTGGTGGATAATTTCTCAAGATATGTGGCGATTTCTATAATCAAGAGCAAGAGTGAAGTGGCTGGCAAGTTCAAGGAGTTTCTGACGCTTTTCGAAAACCAATGGGGTACGCGACTGAGGTGTTTACAATCTGACAACGGAACCGAATTTGTGGACAAGACCATGGCTGGAATTTGTCAACAGAACGGCATTGTAAACCAGCGTTCCGTTCCATACATCCCTCAGCGGAACGGAGTGGCGGAGCGTTTGAACAGGACTATCATGGAGAAGACCCGCAGCATGTTGTATTACAAGAGCGTCTCGACGGAATGGTGGGCGGAAGCGGTAAGCACAGCGGTTTATTTAAGTAACCGCTCCAGCAATACGGCCCATCCAGACATTACACCCTACGAGCTGGCTTTCAAGATGAAGTCTCAAATGGATCACTTGCGCGTGTTTGGTTCGCACGGCTACGCTCATATTGACGATGTGAAACGGACCAAACTGGAACCCAAGAGCTTCAAGTGTATGTTTCTCGGCTACGCAGAGAATGTCAAGGGCTATCGCGTGTTTGACTTGGAGGATGCCAAGATCAAGGTGACTCGCTGAGGTGGGCGGCATTTACGACACGCAAGAGATCAAGCCGGAACGAGTCATTTAAGTAATGAAGGATGGTGATGAAGTCAAGGTTCAGCATCAAGTGGATCAACAGCCAGTTCTGAACGATTCGATGGAAGCTGTCAAAGAGCCAGTTGCAGATGTTGAAATGCATGATATGGATCATGCGCCAAGCATCGATGTACGGCGGCTAATGCCTTCTGAGAGCCCTGTACAAAACAGACTTGAGCTTATGGAGTGTCATCAACCGACCAAAGTGCAATACGAAGATCGTCTGGTGTTTTGGTTTGAAGTGGAGCGAACAAGAGCAAGAT